CCTATTAGAAAGAAGGTGTTTAACGATAAGGTATCCGCCGCTTTCGCACCCTATCGAGTTCGTCCTTTCGAGTTCGCCCCTACCTTATACCGTGTTCGCCCCCGCACTTTTCGGGTTCGACCCCACCAAGTCCAGTTCGCCCCCAGATTGAGTCATGTCTAAATTAGTTGGTATCGAACATTGCAAACAAGTTAGAACCAAGTTTATCTACCGAACATTTCGTGTTCGTTAGATAAACCGAGGTTGGTTTGCAATGTTTTTTTGATTAAGTGTGGTTCTCTTTATCACAAGTTCAGTGTATACAGTTATTTCTGGTATTCCCAGATCCCACGCAGAGTATTTAGTTGATTCGGTCCACCCAGTTCCCAAGCAGGTTCCACGCAATTGCCGAAATTCAAAATGGTCGTCGCTGACGTGACATTTGGCACATTCTGCTAGTGCCTTCGTCACAAATCAACTCATCTGGATATCACTCAATCATGGGGCGAACTCGACTTGATGGGGTCGAACTCGAAAAGTGTGGGGGCGAACACGGCATAAGGTAGGGGCGAACTCGATAGGAAGTGAACGCGGTGCAATTCAACGATAAGAGTAAAAGTGTATAATACTATACTGATGATCTTACTCACACGAATGAAAAAGTGGTTAAATTTGCTTGTGGATCCTTTAACACTGTCCATTTAGATAGCTCTCATTTTGCTGTGGTCAAGAATGAATTAGTTGTCAAAAAGGGGAAGAATCTATGGAAAAGCCTTATTGGTTTAATCTGTCAATTGGTCGAGGTAGTTAAAATGATCAAACTAGCTTACGTGGGTCATCTGGACAAAATGCATAATTAGCTTAAATACTTCAACTACTCAAACTTGTTTCATTGTTACAAGCAGTTGATATGGTCAATTTAGCGTCAGTCAATCGACTGCACAAACTGTACAATCTAGCTGAAGTAGTTAAAAAAAGTCAAACTAACATTATTTCAACTGGTTAAATGCTCAAGCTAGCTTAATCGTGTCAATTGCACAAAAATTACAATCCAGCCTAAATAGTGTAGTATTTCTGACAGCTGTCAATTACAGTGTTCGGAATGTGGACGCGGTCCAAAAGAAAAAGAGTTTTTGCAGTAGTCAGGTATCATCTTGCATGTTGATTAAATATGGTTGTTTGTCAACCACATCTGGCGACGAGGATCAAGCATAGAACACACAGAGAGCACTCCAAAAGGATTTGAAGGGATTTCAGATTTCTTTCCGAAGCATTTTACCACAAAAACAACAGCGATTTCTCCACTACACTTCCGAGCGTCTGAAGTTCACTGCGATGGAAATGCAGGCCTGAGATGGGAGAAATGGCCTGGAAACTTCGAGATATTAACCATTGGAATGAGAATTTCCGATGAAAAGCAAATAAGCGCCCTTTTGCTGAACTACGGCGGCACAGAGGTCGATGAGATCTTCGACACGCTTCAAGGCGTTGGTGAAGACAAAGACTACAGAAAGGCCGTCAATGCAAGAAACTAACCGCTCACTTCTCTCCGCAAGTTAACGTAAAGTACGAAGTATGCAATTTCCGGCAGGCCAAGCCAAAGGATGGAGAAACCTTCAGCTGTTTCCACACACGTCTGAGAAGCCTAGCGAAGACCTGCGATTTCACAAATCCAGACAAAGAAATCAAAGAACATATTATCTTGAATTGTAAGTCAAATTCCCTACGGCGCAAGGCTCTGCGAGAAGACCTCGACTTATCTGGCCTAATGAAAAGCTGGTAGAACCCTAGAATTAAGCGAAATACAAACAAAGGAGTTAGAGAAACACGATCAAACCGTAAACGTGGTAAAGTTTAACAAGAAAGGAACCTCAACACATCTGAAAGGGATACAGCACCATCAACAAAATCGCCAGGAGTTACGCACAGTCACGCAATCGCAGCAACTCTCGAAGAGACGATGGTAAATGTAGGAACTGTGGTGGACTATACCTTCACAGAGACTTATGCCCTGCGAAAAACAAGAATTGCAAATCCTGCGGAAACTAAACCATTTCAGCAAAACATGTCACATTTGAAGACACGGCTGAAAATGACGAATATGTTTACACGATAGGCGGTGACAAGCAGCCAACTTGCAAAGTCAAGAAAACAGATGGAAATGATGGTCAACTCCGGCGCATCAGTCGATGGCATGGACAAACGCACCCTCAGGGAGTTATACAAACGGAAGGTTCCACGAGCCACCAAGGGCAGAATTTTCTCCTACGGATCATCCACACTTCTACCTATTGTGGGAACTATTGAGGCCAAAATATTCGCTAACTCCAACACCATATGGACAACCCTGCATGTCATCAAAGGGTATTCAGGAAACCTCCTGGCCGTGGGTTCAACACTGCTACAAAACTTGGCGTGCTCAAGATCATCAACCAAGTCAAATCTGACGAGACCGGTCCCCAGTCTCCCGTCAACGTAGATTAAGAAATTCAATTCTGTGGAATCGGCAAAGTAAAAGAGTCATCAAGTTTCTCAAAGACCCTTCCATGTCAGAAATGACGTCGAGATGGAGTTAAAGCGCTTAAAAAAGCTAGACATCATCGAGACCGCGACAGGCCAACGCCCTGGGTGAGCCCTATTGTCATAGTCCCCAAGAGCTCTGGTCAAGTGAGAATGTATGCAGACATGTGAGAGGCCAACAAGGCTGTCAAACGAGAAAAACTCCTAATGCCGACCATAGACGATCTTGTTGCTGAACTCAACGGAGCGACAGTTTTCAGCAAGTTAGACCTTTTGTCTGGATACCATCAACTGGAGCTGAAACCAGAGAGCCGCAACATTACCACATTCAGCACACACATCGGACTCCGAAGATACAAGCGCCACATGTTTGGAATTAACGCAGCATCCGAGAATGACGTGATGTCATACTTTAACCCAAGACTCAAGACTGAAGTGATAGTCGACGAGAGCCCCGTCGGACTTGGAGGATTGTTGGTACAGGATAGTAAAATTATAAGTTACGCAAGCCGAGCATTCAGTGACGTTGAGAGCATATCGATATGCTCAAACCGAAAGGGAAATGCTGGGAGTGGTCTGAGCAGTCGAAAATTTTCATCTTTACTTGTATGGATCAGAATTTATCATTACTACAGACAACAAGGCTCTCCTGGGAATCTTTCAACAGTCACAAGACAACTTCAGCGCGCATCGACAGATGGAAGCTGAGGCTCATGCCCTACAACTGTCAACTTATCTGTCGACCTGGCAAAGACGCCGAGAATCCAGCCGATTTTATGAGCTGCCATCCAAGTAACATAGACTGTGAAAGCGCAACATTGCAGAAGACTATCTGAACTATGTATGCAACCAGGCAATCAGCAATGACGCTGCAAGAAATCAAATTAGAGTCGGAGAAGGACATATTCCTCCAAGCCCTCATTAAGGTCATTGAGACTGACCGGTGGACACATCCCGAAGTGCAGGAGTACAGAAATGTGAAAGATGAACTGTTGGTCTACCAAGGAACTGTACGGAGGGGAAACAGGATAGTAGTCCCAAAAGCACTGAGAGACAGAGCCATGGACCTAACACACGTTGAGCATCAAGGAATTGCGAAAACAAACACCTCATCAGAGAAAACGTTTGGTTTCCCGGTGTAGTCAAGATGGTTAAGGAGAAAGTCGACAGCTGTTAACCATGTCAAGCAGCAACTACTAACAAGGCAGAACAACTCGAACCTCTAGTTAGTCGGGTATCGTCTTGCATGTTGTTTAAAAATCGTTGTGTCTCTCAACCACAAACGGTTCACCTGATTAAATAGTCATCTTGGTGAAGACATTTTACGTCCACAGATTGCACAATCTACTTCAATTAATTCAAGTAGTTCAAGAAGTTAAATAGTCAGACTAGGTGAAACAATAGATCTAGACAAAATGCAGACACTACCTTAACTTATTCAAGTCGTAAAAATTTCTCGAATAAGCTTAAACGGTTCATTTGGATGAAATACACGAAATAGCTCAATTGTTCCAGCTTACTAAATTGCCAAATTAGCTTAAACGGTTAACTGAACAAAATGCACAATTAAGCTAACTTAATTCAGCTCGTTAAATAGTCAAATTAGCTGAGATAAAAATAAAAAAAGCGTTATTTAACTGCAACCAAAGGTAAAAACAGCGTAATTGCGCGACAAAAAAGTCGAAACGTTGTCTTCTATAAGATAAGGCTGAAAACAGCCCAATTTAGTGGTAAAAATTTTTGCGGTGCGAAAAACTGAAAACAGTGAAATTTGGCCTCAAAGCGCTAAGAACATTGCAATTTTCCCACAAAAAGCGAAGAAACGTTGTTCTCAAAAAGATAAAGGAACGAACAGTTCAATTTTAGCAGCAAACAAGCGAAAAAACGTTTTCGGTGAGATAAGGTTGAAAGAAACGTAATTTAGCTACATAGAAGCTTAAAACTTAAAATTAGTCGTTGGTGAGGTACAACCGAGAACAGCGTAATTTAGCCGCTAATACTTTATTAATATATAATATATTACTGCAATACTTTCAGGTACTCGGGCTCGTGGTCATCCCCGTTTTCTTTTCGTAACTAGGCATAAAACTGCGACATTGTTTGGACGAGGACATCGCTCTCGTACTCTTCTAAATTTGCTTGGAGATTTCTTTCATTCGTCCACTTTTTGAAAACATTCTTCCAGTACACCGTGCTTTTCTTTGTGTTTTCATTTTTGCTCTTATCTTTTTATTCCTCGATATATATTACTTAGTATTACTACCACCTTTCGGTAAGGAGCACAGAAGACATGCGCAGTCTAGATTTATAGTTCACAAAATAATATTTGAGGATTTGTCTTCCCATATATATCCACTTAGCGTGGAACCAAGTTTTGCATTCCGCAAACAATATGACGTCCTGCTTCTTTCTCACTGAGTGTTGACATTCGCCGCAGGGATATTTCAGGGTACTAGATCTTTTCCTATGTGGTCCTGGATTAGGATGGATGTCGCCGGACTTTAAATGTAGTTGGAAAGAGCTTGTACCAATAGTGTTGTAAGGAATCCTTGATATAGTGAACGTTCTTCTAAGTGTGCATAAGAGCGGGTGAGGTGGGTTGCAAACCTTCTATCAGAATCAAACGGTAGCAGAGTGACATTTACCGAGTTTTCGTAGACAAAAGACGTATGTTGATAAGTATTCCATACTGAGAATAACATAAGTGCCAATACAAAGGAAAAAGTTCGAAAAATCTGTAATAAATCGGTTGATGCACCACGCGTATTTAAACTTAGTTTAAAAACAAGTTCATCAGGAGGAGCTCTTGGGAAGACTTCTTTATCCTTGGGAATCTCATAATCGAATGGAATCTTATACGTGTCCTCATAAACATCACTGAGCTTATTATTCATGTCAACTCCTGATTTCCCTCTTATCTCCAGCATTGCATCCGATCTTGGAAAGATCAACAGACTGAATACCTTCTCTGGAGGTATTCAGTCGGTTACCTGCTCTCTCACTCTCAGTCAAGAGGAGGTTCTCATAGAGCTTGAATAGAACATAGCCATTGGTGTCTTGCACGATTTCTCCCGCAAATTTCACAGTAAACCTATCACCAAGAACTCTTACGACATTGTTCACGGTATAATTGTTTGCATGACCACTTACTTGTCAAGTCACAGATGACTAATAATGGGAGTCGTGATATTTATGGCTAAGCGCTTTCAGAAGAACAACCAATCAAGAAGGCCGAGACCACACCAGACTTTAATTGTCATGATTTGTGTCGCTATCACTCGAGCTTGGGCTGCGAAGCACTTCATCTTTACTTGATGATTTTGTCTTCACCTACAGTTCAGTTGAAGTCTCATTAATTTGAGAGGTGGGACCGTTGATCTTTGATGAGCCTCCATTAATGTTCCTTACTTTGACTCATTTCATCTCCAAAATCACTGATTTGTTGACTCTCAGCTTCATATCAGAACTTGGCTTTTTCTGGCTTTTATCATACTCGACCTTACTCTGAGTTTGCAAGATCAAGCCTGACTTTTGCCTCATCAATCGCATCTGAACACTGTTAGAAATGTATAACATTCTGATAGCATCCTCAAAGAACACGAAAACTTACGTTAAGCTTTCTTGGCTCTTCCTGATGAACCGAAGATTGATGATCTGACATTGACTTGCGCACCGAGAATGAAATAAGCGAATGCCTCAATCGACTGATTCAATCTCGCCATCCCAGCTTACATCAAACCTTCTAATCTAACTGCCTGGAGGAGGTCGAATTGCCTCTCAAACTTTTTTTTGTAATTTCTCGTGAAGTGGATCAGATTGCCTTTAATGGCTTTTCACCCTCAATGCTGAACTTGTTATTACCAGGATAACAGTTTGAAGTTGCTGGATGGTCCAAAATTTGTCACATAAATGAAAACAGATCTGAGACCGTGATTATCACCTTTTTAAAGCGGAAGTCTGTGCCTGATGAAATTCCAAATTCTACACATTCCTTTGAATGATGGCTTGTTATAATTATTCTTTATCTGATTGAACGTTGGGTCACCCGGAAGAGCTGATTCACTCTGAATTCTACCCATCTCAAAAAGAATCCTTCGGACGGTGAAGTAAATGTGAAAGATCAGAAACGACTTTATCTGTTCTGGAGCCTTATCAAACACTCCACAGAATAATCCACTGCATGTCATTGTGCGCTATACTACGCTTAAAGAGTGTTGAATTCTCGTTCTTATAAATATTCTCCTGAACATTTCATTAAAGTATTGGGACGGGGTAACAAAGATCTTAATCTCCTCACTCAAAATACTCATTGCATTCTCGTGAAACGGAACCTCTGGCACCTCCTTCTTTCCTCTTTGATTCAGAGTGAGCTCAAGGGGAAAACTTCTTACTCCAAGTGCCTTCGTCATATCATCATCCTAATATCTTGTCTCTGGTCCTGAGACGCCCGACTGAACTCCATCTGATCGACTTACGTAAACTTCGGCTGTTGCCTGTCTTATCATCGAAAAACACTTGCACATTGAACTTACTTAAGTCTGCATTTTGATATCGTGGTTTCAAGTCATTCCACACTTTTGTCCTAGCTTTATCTGCCATTTTACTCGCTTTATCTTATCTTAGCTACGCAAACATTTTCATTGCTTTTATAATCAAAATGGTTGTGTTGACAATTATTGCAGATTCAAATCATCGGAGCCTCGAAAAATATCAACATATCAGCCTGATGAGCTGTTTACCTTCCCACTCATAGTTCAGCTTGAAGCGAACTGAAGAAATCTCTGTATTCGATTCCCAGGGCAATGCAACTGTAAAGATAACTCCTAAAGTTAATTATTTACTCAAACGCCTTGGCCAAGCTCTTCAAGATACATTGAAGAGCGAAAGAGTGAAGGTTGAGATGAATACTCTGAAAGGAACTTTAGAAATCCACAATCCTCAAAATAAGTATATTCTTCTTGACAATGATCTGACTGATCTCGGAGTCAAATGACCTTTGCAAACCATCAACTTAGTCAAAAGGTTCGTCATTCACCAACTCCTTTGTCGACTGGATCTTTTCGATAAGAATGAAAACGTATTTAATGAAGAGCCTTAAAGCGTTCCTGGGTGCTTGCCTGACAGCCCTTTGACTGGGTGAAGTATTATTCTGAAATCCCAACCCAGCGAGAAATATCATCGAGGAAGTATTTCGCATCGTGGATTTTGTTCCAATTTCCAAAAAAGCGGACGAATTTTCAGTTTAGCAAGACGTTGAAAAATTCCTTCGCCGCGTTCGGTTGAAAGCCTTTTTTCACGACAAAGAGGGTGATTCTAACACCTCAAACAAAGATACTTTCGAAACACTTCAGTTTCGATCCCCCAGAAGGCCAGTTTGCATTTCTAGATTTCTTCATTAAAAATTGTCACCACGATATCAACAAAGTTAAATTCAATCGTCACACCAAATTTTCTCTATCTACATATGTTTTTCTTCTTAGTGTCAGATTTTGTTCTGCAAACGTCAGATACACAGTAAGCAATCCTTTGCAACGACAAGTCTTGAGAATTTCAAGTTGTTTTAAGCGCGTCAAAACATCAAGAGAAACGACGTATTTCGATTTTAAACGAAATAGTTGATTCCTGGAGTAATTTATTCTGTTTGATGTAGTTGGTCTTAAATTTAAATTACGCACCATTGCAAATGATTGAGCAATAGTTTGAAATTGTTGAATTCGAGTAGTAATCGATCCGGGATTAGGATGAATATCCATGGAAACAGTTAGGTGAATTGCACAGCGTTCGCCCCCTATCGAGTTCGCCCCTACCTTATGCCGTGTTCGCCCCCACACCTTTCAAGTTCGACCCCATCAAGTCGAGTTCGCCCCTTGATTGAGTGATATCTAGATGAGTTGATTTGTGACGAAGGCACTAGCAGAATGTGCCAAATATCACGTCATCGACGACCATTTTGAATTTCGGCAATTGCGTGGAACCTGCTTGGGAACTGGCTTGACGGAATCAACAAATACTCTGCGTGGAATCTGGGGTTACCAGAAATAACTGTATTCACTGAACTTGTGATAAAGAGAACCACACGGTTTATCTAACGAACACGAAATGTGTTGATCGTAACAACCAGACTTGAGAAGATGCAAACCACGCTTTCATCGCGACAGCATTGCTTAAGTTGTTAGACTTGTACCCGTTTAGCTTTATTTATGAAATTAAGACTGAAGAATTTACTCATCAACTTACGAATCAACTCATCTGGATATCACTCAATCAAGGGGCGAACTCGACTTCATGGGGTCGAACTCGAAAAGTGTGGGGGCGAACACGGTATAAGGTAGGGGCGAACTCGAAGGGGCGAACTCGATAGGGGGCGAAAGCGGTGGATACCAGTTAGGTTATTCCCAAATGTCTTGCCAGGAAGAGCCAGATGAGTGAATCCATGTTTAGTACATTTTTTCACTAGTGAAGAGATGTTGTGGTGCGAGTTTCCAGCGACATGCTTGAGTTCAGGATGAGATATTTTAACTCCAAATTCACCAAACCTTTCGACAGAACGGCTAGAACCGTTGAATTTATATCCAGATGATAAAATTTGTGATTAGCACACCAGATATTGTGAATAAGCGATGTAGAAGGCAATAGTAAATGTAAAATCCGTAATATTTGTAGGGCAACTCATCATCATCTGTCTTGGTCTAAAATCAAATCAGGTAAATCCTTTTCAGCCACGGAAAGTTCTGGGTATTCCGCCACCTCAAGATCTTCAGGGTTTTTCTTGAGCAATTCCTTTATCTGTGTAAGGTCGATTCATAATTATAAAAACCGACTCTTGTCCATTCTGACAGGACCGGGAAAGTTAAAAAAAAAAAATGAACTTGCAACAACTTAACACCTATCAAAAAAGGTCCTCATGACGAGGTACCTGCTCTAACGCCAATCTTTTTTCTCAATGATTACATAACATATGTTTTACACTTATAGTTCTTCATCTCATCTCTACACCTCGGCCTTTGACTTGGCTGTTTGTGTGATGAAATGCGTCGAGATATTCATAATGTTGAATCCCGTCAAACTCACAAGCTAATTGTAATGTGTCACAAAAACCTTCTAGTTAATGCAAAAATGAAGTCTGATGATTCATAAGCCATGAAGGCTCGACATTAAGAAATTCTAAAACATTTGACGACGACTTTTTTTTAACATTCATTTTTTAATTCTATTAGACAGGTTTTTTTCTTATGCGATCTTCTCTTGACGAAAGGCCTCTCGTGATATATTGAACATTTAACAGCGGAAGAATTTGCTATATTTAAAAACCTTCTACGGCTTCTTTTATTGAGTCATAGACCTTGCAAAACTAAGTTTCATCGCTCACTTCAACGTTCTGTTTCCTGTCGAGAAGAAGATAGCCGAGAATTGCTTTCGACTCTTCGCTTAGAATCTTGTTTCTTGAATCTTGTATTTTACTCCACAGCCTTTGGCAGCTATTCTGAATTCTTTTGTGCATATTAGAACTAAATTTTTTAACCATTTTAATAACAAGAACAAAGCGTACTTTTTATGTAATATAAAACATGGAGAACGTGAGTGTTCAAGAATTAAGAGTTGAGGCAAAAGGACTCGGACTCGAGAGATATTCAAAGCGAAGAAAGCAGGATTTGATTCAATGGATATCTAATATTCCTGACTATCCAGTTCCAAATATTTACGCTCCACATCTGACACCAACAAGATCTGATATTCCTGACTATCCAGTTCCAAATATTTACGCTCCACTTCTGACACCAACAAGATATGTCCATGCCAGACCTCGAGTTGAAGTAAATAAACAGAGAAGAAGGGAAATCAGAGAAATCGAAGAAATACTTGGATTGAGAAATAGGCCGTAGGCGACTCGAAGAGTTATCCCAAAAATCAAAGTATCAAGTGGGGAAGAAGAAGAGCGAGGAAGAAAAATCACAGAGAGATTATTAAAAAAAAGGATTCAACTCAGAACTAGTCAAACAGCCAGCGCATTAAGAGGTTTCGCGAGGCAATTTAAAATTGAGGGTGTTGAGGGTTTTGGACCAAGAAAATTTATGCAAATAGAAAAACCTGAAGTCTTGAGGCTAATAAAAGAAAATCGTAGGACAGGAGTAATAATGATTTTGAATTGTGAGATGGTTGGAAGAGAATTATTCAATGAGAATTTTGAACTTCTGAATGCTCATTTCCAAAGCTGCGTAGTCGAAAATCTCAAAGCAACAGATGAATCCGAAGAGTTTGATAGTTTAATGCATACTATTCAAGAAATGATTCAGAATTTTAATCAAAGAGGAAGCGGGTGGAAATCTCAAAGAGTGATATCTCTTAACTTTCATCTTTCGAAATACAGAACGTTGAACGGCAGCTCTTACATCGAACTCCCAGAATTCATTACAGGTAAGAAGGCAGTCATGAACATCAAAAATGTAGATAATCAGTTTTCAAGTGGTGCATAAAAAGAGAGCTTAATCCGGTTGAGAGAGACCCTCATAAGATTACAGAGCACGATCTCAGCAGCTTAATTGGAGTAATATTAACCTCCCTATGCGGCTGAGTGATATAAGTTAGTTTGAAAAGCCGAGTGAAAACAAAGCAGTGAACGTGCTTCGTTATGGGAACGTGATTTTTATCAATTTTGGATAAGCTAGGAGATAATTGGGACACATATCAATCTTCTTTTCACATTAGATGCAATCTATCGTCTAATAAAGGGCATCATTAGACCTATATCAAGTCAAAGCTCCAAGGATAAGAAAGCAAAAGAATATTGCCTCAGGTGTCTGAACCACTTTTCAAGCAAAGAAAAGCTTGCACTCCATAGAGAGTATTGCTCAAGAAATGAGCACCATGTTTAAATTCTAGAATCGTAACCGCTCAATGAGAGTACCCTTTGTGGTTTATTCTGACTTTGAGGCTTGCACTTAATCACTAAGCAGTTGTGAGCCAAGCAGTGATAAGAGTTCACAAATAAATACAAGAAGCAAAAACCATCTGAGCTCGGCTATCACATCGTTTTCTTGAAGAATTCAGAAACGCGTGTAATGATAATTATGAGCTCCATCCTGTTCGGCATTTCACCTCTTCTGAATTGGCTTGGGATGCTGCATTGAAGGTGAGAAACGTTTAACTTAGAGACCCATACGTTCTTCTAATAAATGAAAAAGGAATTTGGGCTGGTGTTTCAATGATCGCCAATCGCTTTGAAAGGGAAAATAATTCATACATTAGTGATTGCCATAATACAAGTAGTCTATCGAAATGCTAAGGATATGAAGATCACTTTTGAGGATTACGCAGGAGAGTTGACAAATGATAAAATGAAAGAATTAACAGCAAAGCTAGAAAAACCGAAACATTTGCATCTCATATTCTCACATTTGGCATCCATTCAGTATTGATTGAAAATTTAACAACATCTTCCAGAATGGATATGAATGAAGAAGAAGCAATCATAGATGTTATGAGTTGAACCCTCAAGTGATTCAGATCATCGAGAGCAACTTGCTGTTCTCGTTGCAAGTGGAAAAGCGAAGAAAATGAAAGGTGTATCTCTCACCCAAGATCATGTTAAGAAGCTTTGTGAAAAAGATGTTGAGAAGTACTTGAAGAGATACGAAGCCTCATTATCTTCACAGACTTGCGATCTAATGGTTGATACATTTTAGCTCTCATGTAAAGCATTGACTCATTTTCTCTTTGTTGATGAACGGAAAGTTCTGAAGGACTTGAACGATAACTTCATGGTAAAGAGAGAGATCTCAGAATGATTACCGGTTGGGAATGGCTGCCAGTCGTTTTTGGTGTATTAGTTCAAAATGGAAAGAAAACTTTCAAGAGTTTATTATGCCCTCAAAGGCTTTTGGAAGGGATTGCCTGCTTTTAAGGGGTTGGCTAAAGGAGGAGTCTGAGGACGTTGCAAAGCTTTGGCCGATCAAGCAACCCATCTGACAGATTTATTTGCCTGCCCTGAAGCGTATCCCGAGACCAACTTTTGATGTTGAATTTCCAAATGCAGTTAATCAAGCTGATCTTCTATTCCTTCCATGACAGACTTCCGAGAGGAAAAGTTGCATAAGTATGCATTGACAGTTGTTGATCCTAGAAGCAGATTCAAGGCTGCCGAACCTCTTGAATTTTAGCTGAATGTCTCTTCACTTTCCACTGTAGTCCAGAGATGAAGAGGAAAAGAGATCAACCGAATGGGTAAAAAGGATTCCAGAAGTTGTTTCAGCTTTGAATAGCGAAGTGACCGGGTTGACTGGAAAGAAGCCTGTTGAAGCAATCGAAGAGAAGGTGGTTGACGTGAAGAGTTCAACGACTTATTTAAGACCAGTCCGCCTAAAGGAAAAGAGACTCGACTCTTCAAAGAATGTGAGATATTTCTTTGCCACCGGTGAGCTGGAAGGTGGTCAAAGGCGAGCCACAGATCCAATGTGGTCTCTGAATGTCTTCAATATCAAGTGACCACCTGTGAATAAAGGAGAGCCAGTTTTCTACTATCTGAAAGATGGTCCAAAGTATGGTCTCGTTAGAGAAGAGCTTCAAATCGTTTCTTCTGGAACTAAGTTGCCTACTGATGGAAGTTGTTGATTTAAAAAAAGTTCTAAAAAATTGAGTTTCTCAAAAGGCTTAAGAGAGGATGTCAGCATCTATCGAACAAATTTGAAATATTGTGGCAAGTCGCCCAAAATTCGTTTTCTCTCCTACTGTCATATTTTTTAGCCCAATATGTTCTAATAATTGTGGTGTAGTTTTTTTTGAAAATATATTTTAGTTTTCGAGAAATGACTTTTTTCGTTCGACCGCTCAAATATCCAAATTTTCACCGTGAATATTATCCGAGTTGTGTGACCTCATGTAACGAATGTACTAGACCTACGGTATTTCTGTGAACATAATCCTTTGTTTTATCATCTAAACTTAATTATTGTCGTTATTGAAGCTGCCAAAGAAATATTTATTTTTTGGTGAATATTTTTGTCCGACATACTTTTCCTATGTCGAAAAGTAGCATCAAAACAAAGACAGTTTTAACAATGACCGATATGACACAATCCACTGAGCTTCAAGCTTTTAAAAGACCAAAAGATGGTTATAAAGTTACTGTAAAAATTTCTTTGTGTATTTGTGTTGCTCTATCTTGAGACGAACTCAAAGTCCGGCAAAATTTTACTTGATAGCGACTATGAAATGTACATGGTGCGCCTACTTGTCGCCATCGTTAATTGCCATAAATCACTACATTTTTTTACTTTCTAGTAGTGCTTGAGGATTGTAAATGAAGGTAGAATATTTTCCAACGAATTATTGGTATATTTCAAAGAGAAATATGGAGTTATTTGAGGACCGTGTCCTGCCATGTCATTGAAAAGTTTTTAAGTGTCAAGCGCTTGGATGACTTCATACCCTGTGTACAGGGTTAGCGAGAAACATCAACTTCGAAATTTTAGGCTGCCTGGAAGCACTTGAGGATTGTGAAGAAAGGTAGAACATTTTCGTAAAAATGTTTTTTGGATTTCGAAGAGAAATATGGAAAAATGTCGGACTTCGGGACGTTTAGATATTTTAAGTTTAGTCACTTCATTGCAGGAACGTCAGCGACACTGACAGTTTGCGTTACAATTCTTATTTGCTGCTTTGCATGGACAACAACCTCAACCAGTCTTTCGAGCGCAAGTTCCTCTCCACGGGCAGGAAAACTTCAACTGACCCTAGGTCCTATTTAACAAGGATGGCAAACTTCAATTAAAAAGAATTGTTGCATGAATTGTTTTTTCGAAATGCTCGCAAGGAAACGCAGATGGTATTTTGAGACGTGAAAAGGTAAAAATAACTGACCAATCAGGCGCTGTTTAAACATAAGCGGTAGTTCAAAACAAAAACAAACGACCGCGTTGCATCAAGGTTGGAAATGGGCCTTTAAGAAAATCGCGCTTTGTCGGAGAAGTGTTGTTTTAACCTGAGAACGAAGTGGTAGCGTTTCTTAAAATTGAAATAAAATGAGATTGAGTCATTGATGTCCATATATACATTAAGTCTGATGCGGTAATTTGATTTTGACAATATTGTCATGTGAGAACCCGTCAAACATCTGAGAATTAAGAAATTAGAAGATCCTCGCAGCTAAGAACACTACTGAAACTAGTAGTTGTAAGTAGGACCTGAAAAAAATTTCAGGCCCGTACGGGATTTGAACCCATGACCTCTGCGATACCGGTGCAGCGCTCTACCAATTGAGCTAACAAGCCAACTGGGAGCTGGTCAATGAATTGGGTACAAATAAACATCCGAGTGAATGAAGATTTTAGATATATGAAAATTCACATATTTGCACTGCGGTGGAAAGATGAAATTAGAAGATCCTAGCAGCTAAGAACAATACTGAAACTAGTAGTTGTAAGTAGGACCTGAAAAAATTTCAGGCCCGTACGGGATTTGAACCCATGACCTCTGCGATACCGGTGCAGCGCTCTACCAATTGAGCTAACAAGCCAACTGGGAGCTGGTCAATGAATCGGGTACAAATAAACATCCGAGTGAATGAAGATTTTAGATATATGAAAATTCACATATTTGCACTGCGGTGGAAAGATGAAATTAGAAGATCCTAGCAGCTAAGAACAATACTGAAACTAGTAGTTGTAAGTAGGACCTGTAAGTAGGACCACCGCAGTGCAAACATGTGATTTTTCATATATCTAAAATCTTCATCTGAGAATTAAGTTATGGACCGCAAATGTGTGGTGCGAACAAACTCGCGGGTAAAATGGAATTAGTTCTACTGCTGAATGAGTGAACTTCATTATTTCGTCATGGTACTTTTCAGCGCTATGTTTTCATGCTTTCTACTCGACGAACTTCAGGAAATAATTTCAATTGTTTCACAAAACATGGAGCCACTCTCTCTTCTCTCAACATCTCGAGGTGTACTTACTGCTTGGGTTATGATGAACATGCTTGCGATATGACATTTTTTTCCTAATGCTGGAAACTGAGGAATCAGTCTCTAAAATCGATAGTCATCACATTTTGCAAGAAGCGTCTGAACTTTGATCGTGTAATTAAACTGGGTCTTGGCAATTTGAGCCCACAAGCTCGCTGGTAAGCACATGGTTAGCGTAAACTAGACCCTGTGAGCAGGGTAACTGGGATACCTGGATGGTACTGGATCCTTGGAATTAAGTGTAGTGATACTACGGGTGTCGGACTAGTATACTAAAATAGTGCGCTCAAGTCTGGCCAAGGGCATACACCTGTCTCAAAACATAGGCATGCTATGCATGCAAGAGTTACTTTTTTGTAGGGTGGGTGGATTACTTGAAACATTGTGAGTGATGTCGACATTCTTACAAAAGGAGAGAAGATTGTTAACGCGGGAAAGAATGAAAATGTCGAATTACCTCACACACAGGTATTTTGTGGTAGATTATGTGTGTTGTGCGAATAAATGTAACCAAAAATAAACTGTATTGGTGCCACGGATACCTGTTAGTACAAAATGTAGACAGCAGACTGCAGACCGGATACAAAATATAGACTGCAGAGTGGGTAAAAAATGCAGACTGAGAATCTGAAGAGTTTTTACGTCCGGTACATAATAACATGTCATCTTACAGCTTACCGAGCGTCACGCAATCGCTTTTCCGCGATCAGCCTTCACGATTATTTGCACTATTGTGGAAAATTCCTGGCCCATTTCTTGATGAAAATCGATCGTAATATAATTTCAAGCCTTCAACATAGTCTTCTTACTTTGTGCGCGAGTTGGTTGGTGTGATGTCTGTACAGATTTTACCAATGTAATAAAAGTAGATGACGTGAATAATAGTGATGGTAAAGCAAGCTTAAAACGGCAACAATAACCAGAAACTACAACGGATACACAGGGTATGAGTAAGTTTTATTGATCTTTCGAGAAAAATCTTCATATTTCGAAATATTTATCGTTGCAAATCGACCATATTTCGTTCCCTATACTATTCCTTATAACGTGTTCAAATTTTCAACGGTTCCTAGAATAACTTACTCTGAGTCACACAACGCGTGACGCGTTCGTGAATTAATCGTTGGCTCTTTCTCGAAACGTGACCTTGGGTTGCCTGTGACAAGACAATTGCGTAAACAATACTTGACATAATAACATTATACATAAAAAAACACGGGATTTAAGATCGTGTATTTATTAAAAAAGAATATCCATACAACTACAATGAAAACAAACATAAGATTCACCTTTCTGATCGTGAAATTAATACCATTCGCACTGTTATCGTAGCTACGTTCCCTGGCATCAAGTGAATCCAACATGGCTTCTTTCTTCACTAGCAGTTTGTATCCATTTGAATTTTGTTCTTCAGTCTCACGGTAGTAGTGTTGTTCAATAGATTGCATAGAGTATATGCAGTTTGGTTTCAGATTTCAGATTTTGCTTTTTACAACGAGTTTACGTTTTCAACTAAGACATTGGCATACTTGGCATACAAGACATACAAGGCATTCGATGCTTTCATGGCTTTCAAGCGTTTGCAATTCTGTCCGATCCAAAATTACCGCTCAATAACATCTTTTTGTGTGGATTAGCTACGAACAATACGACTTGTGTATGCGTCTATAAGTATTTTGAGCGTTTGCCCCATAATGCTCCAGATGATCGTAATCCAATTACGTTGAAATACAAAACGACTGACAAAATAGTTTTATGGGCAAAAATCTCGTGTTCGTCATGTGACCCGGCCCTGTCCGTGCATGACAACGTCAATCATCATCAAGATAGCACGCGTGATCAGCATGTGAACACCTCATTGGATCACAGTTAGTTGTCATGGTGTTAAGGGCCCAATGACCTCTGGGTACTATTGCGCAATTTTTCCATTTTGTGGCGGAGGAAAAAAACAAAAAAAAGCCAAACTAGACCCTGTGAGCAGGGTAACTGGGATACCTGGATGGTACTGGATCCTTGGAATCAAGTGTAGTGATACTACGGGTGTCGGACCAGTATACTGAAATAGTGCGCTCAAGTCTGGCCAAGGGCATACACCTATTTCAAAACATAGGCATGCTATGCGTGCAAGAGTTCCTTTTTTGTAGGGTGGGTGGATTACTTGAAACATTGTTAGTGATGTCTACATTATTACAAAAGGAGAGAAGAATATTAATGTGGGAAAGAACGAAAATGTCGAATTACCTCACTCACAGGTATTTTGTGCGAGATTATGTGTGTTTTGCGAATAAATGTAACCAAAAATAAACTGTATTGGTGCCACGGATACCTGTTAGTACAAAATGCAGACAGCAGACTGCAGACCGGATACAAAATATAGACTGCAGACTGCAGAATGGGTACAAAATGCAGACTAAGAATCTGAAGAGTTTTTACGTCTGGTATATAATAATATGTCATCTTACAGCTTACCGAGCGTCACGCAATCGCTTTTCTGCAATCCGCCTTCACGATTATTCGCACT